GCACACCCCTAGAGTGACAGTGCAAGCTGGGAAGAAAAGGCGCCTTGGGTTTGGAAGCAAAGGGATTGAAGTTAGTGTGTGGCCAGCCCGAGGACAGACACACCATTAATCACTATCCTCTTGGCTCCCTTTTCAAACTGCAGAAGCAACTGCTGGGACTCAGATGCCAAAAGACTATCTCCATCTCCAGGATGGTCTTGCAGGGCTCGCTCTCCTATTTTCAATTAGCCACAGAGCCAGAACTTCACTGGAGACCTAGACTTGCCAGGCCATCACTTAGCTGAGGAGGAGAGACTCAAAGATGGGGGGCGGGGATCTGTTTTTCCCTGCATCTCATTTCAGGGTGAGGTCTGTAGGAAACGCTCTTTTTGGAGGGTATATTTTTCTGGCACCTTGCATTGATAACGGGGGTCCAAAGTCCCATTCTGTCTTTATAAGAATAAAGAAGAATTTATTAGCTCTAGTCAGCACAGAAAACTTGACCTTAGTGGTGTGCAGGATGAGGACATGGTTTCTTGCACAAGGCCTGCAGAAGTCACTGCTAACAGGGGCATGCAACTCATGCACCCCTGCTCCCACAATGCTCTTGGTCAATGCAGCATAGGAGACGCATGCCTGTGAAGAATATCCCTAAATGCCACTTCACTGCTCTCTTAAAAGACGAGACACAGTCACCTTCTATCTGGCCCAAATACAACATTTTAGTCAAACTGTCATCTTTCCAGAAGGGCTCTCTGACCTCTTGGCGATGGAAGTCCCTTCAGAGACCTGCTGACTACGCATGGAGACCCAGCAGTGATCTTTCACACTTTCCAGAAACAAGTGGGGAGGTACTTTCTAAAGCAACCAGCCCATTGGCTCAGAAACCAGACCTGCTAACACCAGTTGGAAGCTTTACCAGGCTGGTGCTCCCCAGGGCACCAGAACCATGGTGTCTCTCAGAGCATGACGCTTGGCTGCCCTTGGCAAGAGAAGCCAGGGACATTTGTGCCTTCAGAGCATCTCCAGTGGCTGAGGACATTAGGTTGCACCTGCCTGAGGCTTGTCCAGTGTTAGCAAGTCCAAAGCATGATTACTACCTCATTGTTCCCTCTGAGCAAAGCTGTGAGGCATTTTCCACAGGGAGCTTTGGAGTTGTACACTCACTCTCCAAGGGTTTCCCAGGAGGGCAAACAGTAGGTCAAGACTAGAACCAACGCCTCTGGGTACCTTAAGATTACAGCACAGAATAGACTGATGAGGCTATTCAAAGAGGGCAGAAACCCTTTCTACTTAGTGAGGGAGGGAGTGGAACATCTTGGTCAGTTTAAATGACAACTCAGGGACCCCAGAGGCCTGGGTGTAAATCCTGGATCTACCACTCACTGTGTGTGGATTTGGGCAAGTTACTTAATTCCCCTAAGTTCTAGTTTCTTCCTGCACAAAATGGAAGGTCATGACTATCTCATAAGCACCGTCGCCATCGACTCGATTCCACCCCTAGCAGCCCCACAGGACAGAGGAGCATGGCTCCCTAGGGTTTCTGAGGTTGTAAACCTTTAGGGGAGCAGACAGCCTTGTCTTTTTCCTGAGGAGCGGCTGATAGGTTTAAACTGATAACCTGGAGTTGAGGTTAACAGCCATGTGCTTAACACACTGCACCACCAGGCTTCCTGCTAAATGAACATAAATATTTAGTTGGGGTACGTCACAATGGAAGCTACTGTTAGTTTTCAAAGGTTTACAGGCACAAATGCTACAGACACAGACAGATGGGAGAAAGCATCAAAATAGATACATGAATGAATAGAAAGTCATCTTTAACTACTTAAAACTCGAGGCTGTTCAAAAGCTGAATGAGTGGCTGTTTCCTGGCCCTCTAGCGTGAAGCCTGCTGCTCTGAGAGGCAGAAGAACAGCACCAGGCACTGTTGCCAGTTAGCAGAAAACGCAAACCTGACCCACATTCCAAGTTCAGAGGAACCCTAGAAAGGATAGGGTGCTCTAAAATGGAAGGTACAGATGGGTGGAGGAACTCGGACATTTCCATTTCCTCGTGCAGAGGGTGAGGACACCCCCACCCCCTTCTCCTTAGAGTCCCAGTTTCTAATGAGCCAATTTAAACAACAGATGGACATGACATCATGAGCCCTACTGAGCCAGCTCTCCCTCCAGCTGGGGGACCACACCACTGAGGCCATTACGCAAACGGGGCAACGCCTAGTGAGGGGCTGGGGAGTGCCTGACAACACCCACCTCGGCCTTCCCCAGACCAGCCAGGTGGACCTTGGGATCAGCCTGGCTGGTCTAAGGAGCTAGGACTTCCCTACTCTGAAAACAGAGGGGTCCTCCTCCTTTGGGAATCTGAAATGCAGATTCGGTTTTTAGCTCGGGAAAGACCTTGGCTAGATGTGTTCCCTGAGCCCAAGGTATCCTGAAGCTGGCTACGTCCACATCCAGAGTGGACAGAGCTGGTCGGCCTCGGAAGTGTGAGGCAGAGTTGTGCCTGTGAAAGCAGGGTGGGGTTGGGGCTGGGGACAGAGAGACAGGGAAGTCTCCACAACGTGGAGTTGGGGGGTGTAGTTGGCCACCAAGAACATTTCCACTAGAACTCTAATTTGTCCTGAGTGTCAAGTCCGACCCAGGAAGTGTCCATAGCCACTCCCTCCAAGCGACATCCTATCTAGTCATGACTGGGATGCATGGCTCTCAGAGCCTGCTGGCGGAGAGCAGAGTGAGCACCTCGCCTTAAAGCAATGACCAGCCACCTCCCATTCCAATAAGGAGCCTCAGAAATCTCCACGTGCCCTGGGAAATGCCTTTTTAACAGGGGCATTGCCAGCACATACCCGTGGTGATGCTGCCCTGATGCCACAGCACCCTGTGTGTGTGCTCGGGTGAAGAGGAGGAGTGGGGGAGCACTGTGGCTCGGGCTCAGCCTGCGCTTTTCTAGAGACCCTGGGACTGCTCAGCTGATCAGGCTTTCACATGCTGTGGTTTCTTAAAATGACCACAGCACGAACACGTCCAGGCGCCAAGGCCCTGTTGTCTTAGCTCACCTGCACTAAGGGGGTGATGGATTTGGCTTGGGTTGAACGCTTCCGTGAAACACACCACCCATTCAAGCCACAATGGGGCCTCCACCAAAGCTTACTGTGTTTGTTTTTCTTCTCTGGTAGCGGAGGTGGTTTTTCTGGGTCACCCGTGGAGTCTGGAACCGTGAAGTCGCCCACAAACTCGACAGGAGCCGAGGATCCCCCTGGCTGGAAGGGGAGAACAGCAGGACAGGACGCAAAGGAGACCGGCTGGACGGAGGCCGGGTTCTGCAGGTCGTCCTCAGAGATGTTGTCGTATTGTGAAGGGTGCCGCTCGTAGGACATCCTGCAGCCTGTGCTGTCCCCAGTCTGCGAGGCTGCACTCCTACGCTTCTTCTCCGGGAGAGCAGGCGGTGTGTCTGTCTGCTGCCCAAGGGCCAGGTGTCCCTCTGGCTGGGGACAGCTGCCAAGAGGCAGCTGGAAAGAATGACCAAGAAATGGAGATCCAGACTCTCCCAAGGACTCCGGCAGTGGGCTCAGGTTACAGGCCACGTGCTGAGGTATCTGGTCTGCGTTAGAGAGGTCTTGCTGGAGGAATTCATAGTCAGGATCATAGTGATCTGCAGTCATGAAAAGGGGGAAAACTGTTAGCCACAAGGCTCTGCAGATGGAAGCCATCCCACCCTTCTTCCTTGGCTCACCGTCACTCATCAGAGCATGGCAAGAGCATGCCTTTGGGCTGGCTCTCTGTGCCCTCACTTTATTTCACACTTTTCATCTCCTCCCCTGATTATACATGTGAACCACACAGGAGCACCACTGCTTGTGTTACTATTCTTTGTACTTCTCTAGTTTCCGACTTGAAAGATATAGCCATTGTAGACAGTATGGAAAACAAACAATAGTAAGAAAAAACCCACACGCCTATTATCCCATGATCTAATGACAGATGCTACCTACATTTGGATGTATTTTTAAAACGTCTTTTTGTCCTAGGATTTAAATTAAAAAAAAATTTAAACCATACTGAGTCAGAAGTGACTCAATGGCAGTGAGTTTTGTTTGTTTGCTGGTTTTTGAGGCAAAAACAAACACAACAATCCCAAAAGCCCTACATAGGGAGTCTGGGCTTTCTGCTGGCTCCACCCCTCCACCCCCAGCCCCACTTATCAGTGGTTTTGAATAACTACAAACTACTTCACCAAATAATGAATTACAATTCATCCCATTTCCTAGTAATGAGTATTTAATTTAAAACTTTTTTTTTAAACATCTCCTAATGCTGAGATTCACCATCCTTGAACAAAAATCGTGGACTAGATCTCTTCTTATTTCCCTAGTTAATGGGCTGTTACAGCTTCATGGTCTTTAAACCTAGTGCCAAACCACCTTTCCTACTGCCAGGTGACCACAGCAGCACAGCTTCTATACTGATGAGATGCCAGCATGTGCTGGTGGCTTGTCTTGAACCTCTGGCAATGCTGGCAGGGCCTCTTCCCTTTGTCTCCAGTTCTGAGCCCAGCTGGCTCTGAGTTCTGGCAGAGAGAGTGCATTTCACCCTGATATGTTGGTAGGACCAAGAGTTACCATTCGAGTGTCTCCCGTGTGGTTTCACATTTTTATCTCAAGTAAACTTCCCACCTTTTTGAGTTGTAGCTATTGCTATCCTCACTTTGTAAATGAGGAAACTGAGGCTAAGATGTTAGATGAGTTTATAAAGGTCATACTGTTCATGAGTGGCCTACTTGGGATTTGAACCCAAGCTATGTGTGACTCCCACAAACCCACAGAGAAATAAGGGAACATGCTGGGAAGGCTGTCCAAGCAGAGAGGTGACAGCGAGGCCTCTGGCTCACCTAGTGTTTCACAGCTTGTGTTCCGGGAGCACTGTCCACTGTCCCTGTCCAGAGAAGACAGCTGCTCATCCGATTTGCTGAGCTTGCCTATGCTGCTGCAGGGGGAAAGGCGAGGGGACTCTCCACCGTAGGAGTGGCTGCCTCCGGACAGCCGCCTCTGAGTGTAACAGTCCACGTCAAAGTCCTCATGTGGAAACATAAGAAACAGGATCAGTCACTTCTGAGAATGGACGGGGAGAGCAGGGAAGAAGGAACTAGTGCATCACTTAGAGAAGGAGACACCATCAAGCTGAGAAGCCTGTTGGAAAGGCCCTTCTTGGATCTTGAGCAATAAACTGGTGTATCTGTGGCTAAAGGGAAAGGAGCCTTAGGGGTTCGGAGACTGTGGTGGGGAAAGTTCCGAGGGCAGGCTCCACTCTTCTCAGAAGATGTCCCTTTGGCTGCAGCCTCCTTTTCTCCAGCCCCCATTTGGGGACACCCGCCATGTCTTGGAAACAGAACGAAGGAGTACTGACAAGACTTTAACCCCTCCAAGAGCAATCCTCTCATTCTGACTTCTAACAGCGTTAGAAACCAAACCTCAGAACTCAAGTCTGACTTGGTCTTTCAGATGGGGCTGCCTTACCTGCCTATTAATTCCAACCGGCAAACTGGAGCCACTGGTAGCTCTACTCATTGGGGCCACTACAGCCACTCGGGTGGGGGACGGAGCTGACTGCCTTTTCTTGGGTGGCAATGCAGGCGGAGGGCTGAAACAGACCAAAACCTACAATCAAGCCAAAGAACTCTAACAACATTCTTCAGAATGATAGTAGAGTAGGGAATATAGGATTTCTTTATTACTCAACTGTTCACACCTAGCTTTCATCACACACTTTCAACCTCTGCCCCACACATCCATCTGTGTAAAGTCTAACAGTGCTGACATGTGCGTGCACGTGTACACACACACACACACACACACACACACACACACTCAGGGCTAAAATCAGAACACCCTCAGTTCAAGCGAATATACTGTACCCATTTTTACTTGTCCAAGGCCAAATGGCAAAGGAAACCTTTGGGTTATATGTCAAACTTCTAAAACCCCTAAAGAACAAGGGATTGAGCTTTAAGTTCTTACCATCCTTTTTTTTTTTGCTTCTCATACTTATTTATTCATCAAATTAACCCATATGTAGGTGGTATTGGGGGCAGGGAGGCGGGTGTTGCTATAAAAACAGAAGTAGTATGACAGCACCCTTACCTATTATCGACTACCCGGATGCCAGGTAAAGGGGGCTTGGGAGGTGCGACCTCTTCATCTGTGGAGTCTGGGAGCAGCTCGGTGGACTGTGACATCCCAGCTGTCTTGTTTAGGATCTCCATCTCTCGATCTGTCAAGGGGAGCTCAGACTGGCTGAAGAATGTAATAGAACTTAAGATTACAGATGGTCCTATGAAGATTTAGATGAATGTGACCAGGGCAAGGGAATGAGAGGGATGAGGTCATGGCTATGGGGCAGGTGCTCTCAACACAGGAGCCCTTGCAGGGCAGGCGAGGTTTTAAGTTTGGTTTGATCCTCAACAGGACCCTGTCTGAGTCCCCTCACTCCCTACATGTCAACTTCTTCAGCTGTAAAAGGAATCTTTAGATGCTTGAACCTTACTCTGCTCCCTCCCACCCAAAGCCACTGTCACCGTCGAGTCAATTCTGTCTCAGAGACCCTACCGAGCAAGGAGAGCTGCTCCTCTGGCTTGTGGAGACTCCAAATCTTTAAGGAAGCAGCAGCTTCATCTCTCTCTCTGGAGCAGCTGGTGCATTTGAACAGCGGGCTTGTTGGTTAGCAGCCCAACACCTGACCCACTATGCCACCAGGGCTCCTCCAATGGTCTAAGATACAAAACCAAATGCACGGCTATGGAGCTGACTCCAAGGACGGAGTAGAATTGCCCCTGTGGCTTCCTCGTGATCCAACTCAATCTCTCACTGCAATGCTGACTCACAGTGACCCCTTGTGAGTTTCCAAGATTGTAACTGCTCAGGCAGTAGAAAGTCCAGTCTTTTTCTCTTGGAGCTGCTGGTGGCTTTGAACTGCCGACCAGGTGGCTCAGAGCCCAGTGCTTAACCACTATACCACCAGGGCTCCATTCAGGTGATCTAAATAAAGGTTCCCTAAAATGCTCCAAGTTTATGTTTCATATTTTTACCAGGGCCTTGTGCTAAAAATTGTTGCAAGGCATTAACATGTTCCTATTATACTCAGTTTACCTTCTTGGTAAAGGTATTACCCAAAAATGTCAATGGTCTCAAGACAACCCCCCAAAATGCAAGCTGGAGAGGTTCTTTCTGACCAGGCTATGAAGCTGGTGGGGAAAAATACTGGTGTAGGTCTCTGTGGACATCCACACCAACCTGAGATCTACTTACATTGCATATTTAACCTGAGACCAGGCAACACTCCACAATGTGTGTGAAGTATACAGTGACACTGACCCTCCTCCCGAACTTATCACTCAGAGAGAAGAAATGCAGGCCCCACCGTGGAGACTGGGTGGCCAACAAATCCAGCAGCGCCCAGAGGGTGTCATCAGCACTCACCCATCAGGTTTGCAGGCCGGGGAGCTTGGCTTCACTGGGCTTGTTGGAGATGGATGTCCTTGCTTCTCGATGATAAGTCTGACCAGCTCCTGCACCAGAGAAGAGTAATGAATCCCAGGGAAAGTGGCCTTTTATCACCCACGCTAGGCCAGTTGTCTGTCCTGCTGCATCTCATTTTTGTGCCTACAGATTTCCTGATCACCATAAATGCAAGTATTCTTTAACTCAGGGCCTTTGCGGCCCTTCTCAAACTTTCCCCTGCTCTCCCGAATGACCTTCACAGCACTCTAAGATCTTTCAAACACACAAGCACTTCCCCTCTTGGAAGGGGGAAACAATAAACCTCATTGTCTCAAAATGACTACGTGTATCGAACAAATAAAATTCCCAGTAGGGTCGCCTTCCAGTCACTCTGTGAGGGAAAGACTACTTCTGAGTTTCCCAATGCTGTGTCGTGATGTGTATGACGACAATGCCCAGTAAGTCAAAGTTGGGCTGGGGGAGAGGGCTGTCAAAGTGAGCTGGTGATGGGTGTGGTGGCAACTGGTACCCCTTGATGACCTGGTTGAGGATCTTTGCCAGTGAACAGAACGTTAAGGACATTTTACCAGTAGAAGATACAATTTTAGAATCATTGTGATACCAAATATAAGGGAGTAAACTATCCCATCACACACACACCCTGGGGTGGGGTGGGGGTGGGTGGGCACCACCGGCATGGGAGGCAGTGACAATGAAGAAAGCCATTTTCAAATCACTATAAAAAAATATAAGGTCATGGCCTACTTGCAAGCTTTGTCAATTAGAAACTTCAGTTTTGACAGTTGCATGTATTCATGTAAGCATTACTCAAAAACCCCATCACCTTCACAGCCCACAATCTGTACCCCACGACCACGGTTTTATTTCTGTCTTACTTTTTTCTGCTCTTCATATGAAAGGATTATTATATATGCTTTTCTTCAACATCTCTGATATATAAAGCACATATCATTAAAAAAATCACCTTTCAAAGTGTACAATTCAATGGCTTTTCATATGTACACCCAGCGGTACAACCATCCATATAATCAATTTGAAACCACTTTCATGTCTCTAAAAGGAAACTCTGCATTCATTAACAGTCATCCTCATTGACCCCTGGCCACTTGGTTCTTTTGTTTCTTTTCACGGCCTAGTAGTTAGTTTTCCAATGTATGTACACCCAAGATTTCTCTAGTCTCCTGTCTTTGAAAAAAACATTTTATTGTGGTTTGAGCGAAAGTTCACTGTTAGGCAGAAAGGTGACCACCACGAGTGGATTCCACTCCGGGTCTGAAGGACACCCAAGGGCCAGAGTCTCAGGGGTGCTACCCATCTCTATCAGACCAGTAAGCCTGGTCTTTTTTCTGACTGTGAATTTTGTTCTACATTTACCTTCCATTCTGCCTATGATTTTCTTCTGTGATCTCGATCAGAGTGGATGGCAATGGAAGCCGGGCAATTTGCTCGTTCTTCTATCTCAAGCTAGTGGAGGCTATGGTTCACGTGGTCCAGCAGTTTTCTGGACTAATTGTCTCCTTGGTTCTTTGATCTGATCGATTCCCTTACTTATGTCTAATGAGAAGCTTCAGCATAAACAACTATTTCTACATTTATGGAAGAGGCAGCAATAGATTCAAGAGAGTAATATTGAGGTATGTTTCCAAATCAGAGACTGCAAAGCTTCTTCAAACTAAAAAAAAAAGTATGTACAATGGAACACAAGAGATTGTTAGGTTGCTAAAGCAAACAAAACCAACCAACCAAACCTAAAAAAGGAAGAACACTGACGAAATATCAAAGAAGAAATTCATGGAGAGGGCTGCATCTGATCAGAGCACACAGGAGCAAACGAGGAGGGAAGGAGACAGTGGAACGCAGCCCAGCCCACCAAACCCCGAGGATGATATTCCTGCTCAGTGCAGCCAATGCACAGAGAGGATCATAGGGCTGGCCCCACCATGAGACACAACATCCCTCACTGACCCATAGCACTACGGGGACAACACTGGAGACACAGTGTGGGAATTGTGCCCAATATGACTTCACAGCACCGGGGTGAAACGCTAAGGGCATGCAATAGAGCAGCAAGGGGAGCAATGCAATGAAGTCCCCAGGGAATGCCAAAAATAGACTTTGGGTCCAGGGCGTGGCACTCCATCAGGCTCGACCAGAAAACACCCCTAAAGGTCAACAAACAGACCTGGAACTATTTACAGACTTTTCTTTTCTTGTTTTTGGTTGTTTGGTTTTTTTTCTGTTTTGTCTTCATTTGCTCTGTCTTGTTTTTGTGCTCATTACTGTCTCTGCATGTCTATCTAGATAAGATAGGCAGGATAAACAATCAGGGGGAGAAAACAATGGGACTGATGATTGGGGGCTGCGGGGTGGGGTGGGGGTGCGGGATACAGGAGAGGGTAGGCACGAGGGAAAGGAAGTGGGTGTTAACAAACCAGGGACAAGAGAACAACAAGTGATCTAAAATCGATAGTGAAGAGGGCATCAGATGCCTGGTGGGGCTTGATCAAGGGCAATGTAACTGAAAGGAATTACTGAAACCTGAATGAAGGCAGAACATGCTAGTGGGTCAAGAGGAAAGTAAAAGGAAATAGAAGAAAGAACTAGGAGGCAAAGGGCACTTATAGAGGTCTAAATACAGACATGTACATATGTAAATATATTTATATATGATAGGGAAATAGATCCATGTACATGTATGTATAGGTTTAGTATTAAGTTAGCAGATGGACATTGGGCCTCTATTCAAGTACTTCCTCAAGGCAAGAACACTTTGTTCTATTAAGCTGGCATTCTGTGATGCTCACCTTCTTACAAGATTGCTGAAGACAAAGCAGGTGCATAAGCAAATGTGGTGAAGAAAGCCGATGGTGCCCGGCTACCAAAAGATACAGCGTCTGGGGTCTTAAAGGCTTGAAGATAAACAAGCAGCCATCTAGCTGAGATGGAACAAAGTCCACATGGAAGAAGCACACCTACCTGTGTGATCATGAGGTGTCAAAGACCCAGAATGAAAAATCATATAGATGTGAATAAAGGGGAGTGCGGAGTGGAAACCGAAAGCCCATCTGTAGACAATTGGACATCCCTTCAAAGAAGGGTCCCAAGGAAGAGATGGGCCAGTCAGGGTGCAGGATAGCACCAATGAAACATACAACTTTCCTCTAGTTCTTTAATGCTCTGCCAGGACCCCCATCATGACCTCAATTCTACCTTACAAATTGGGCTAGACCAGAGCATGCACACAGGTACAGATAAGAGCTGGAAACACAGGGAATCCAGGACAGATATCCCCCACCCAGGACCAATAATGAGAGTAGCAATACCAGGAGGGTAAGGGTAAAGGTGGGGGGGGTGGGGGGCTGATCACAATGATCTACATATAATCTCCTCTCAGGGGGATGGACAACAGAAAAGTGGGTGAAGGGAGACATTGGTCAGTGTAAGACATGAAAAAATAATTTATAAATTATCAAGGGTTCATGAGGGAGGGAGGGTGGGAGAGGGAGGTAAAATGAGGAAAGTAGAAAGAAAATGTCTTGAAAATGATGATGGCAACAAATGTACAAATGTGCTGGACACAATGGATGGATGTATGGATTGTTATAAGAGCTGTATGAGCCCACAATGAAATTATTTTTAAAAAACCCAACAATATTGTCAATAAAACATACAAGCTCCTTAAGCTTTACTGGTAACAGAAGCTTCTGGCACAGGGAGTGAATATTTTGGGCAGCCTTTCCAGAGGACGACTTGTCAGAATACATCAAAAGCATTGAATGTTGCATTCTACTTATCCAAACTTTTGCCCAAGGAAATGTCATGGATGTGCACAAAAATTAAGTCATAGAGGATGGTCATCATGACATTATTTATCAAAGATAGATAAAATTAGACTATTCACTACTTCATAATTAAACACTCAATACAAGAACTGATGACATAAATTATACTGCAAAAACCTGGGACATCACACTGCTATTAAAAACAAAGTTATAATAAGAATATGTAATTACATGGAATGACTTTCTGAACATAATGTTAAGTAAAAAAATAACCCCATGTGGTACATTGGTGTATGTATTATCAGTTTATTTTTGAACACAGATAAAAACCAAGAATACGAGTACAGAAAAAATAAAGGCTATGAAACAGCCCTTATCTTCATATTTTTATTTATATTTTCTACAGTGAACATGATTTACTTCAGAAATACTAAGAACCACTAACTAAAAGCATATATTCTATATAGCTAAAATAAGTGTCACCCTATTTTAGAGTAGCGAAAGAGTCATCGTGGGGAAACGTACAGAACAAAGACCTCTAAGGGACAAGGACTAGAAGCAAACAGAAGGTTGGTATTTTATACTGTTAGCACAATGCACACGTTAGATAAAACTTTACACACTTTTAAAGGAATAGCTGCCTAGCAGGGGAGGACACAGAATCGGTGTGATTGAATTAGGGTGCCAGTGAAGAGTACTGAAAGCATCATGCACTGCCAAAAGAACAGATCTGTCTGAGAAGAAGTTCAGCCGGAATCTTCGCCCCAAGGCAGGCAAGACTTTCATTTCATTGCTTTGGACATGGCATCAGCAGACAAGTCCCTGGAACAGGGCATCATGCTCGGCAAAGTAGAGGGGACGCAACAAGGAGGACGACCCTGGCCTTGACAAGAGGGATCAACAATGGACTCAAACATAACAATTGTGAGGATGGCGCAGGACCAGGTGGTGCTTGTTCTGTTGTCTATAGGGTTGTTGTGAGTCAGAACTGGCTCACTGGCACCTAACAACAAGAACAACAACAACAGCAGAGGTTAACAGACAGGAGAGGAGAGACTATGCAAATTAGACTGTAACAGTTAGTGTGGGGGTAGCCTGGAGGAGGGTGGGAGAGGCAACACTCTCTGTAAAGCTACTTACCGGGCCACTTGGAGAGCACACTAGAATCAAAGGGAATCAGAGGGAGCCAGACCAAAGTGATTGGAAAGCCCCTCCTTCAAGTTCACTCTTCGTTAGGCGCAGGAACAAAGACGAAATCCAAATCC